AAAAAAAAAAGAAATTTTAGAGCTTAACAGTACAGCCAACAGTCTCACAACCTTTTGACACCGTTGGTAACGAATTCAGTGATATCAGTTATGAGTCGGTACTGAGCATAAAGCACAGAGAAACGAAGCAGAAGATGAGGATATAAGCTACACTTATGTATCCCTAATTACCGAATGAAAGCGGTTTTATTTCACGGGTGATTACCGGCAACAATACATCAATCATATCCAATACAGCAACAGATCAATTGGACATGGTAATCGGGACAGTGTAAGAGCTGAAGATTACTGGTCAAGAAGGAAATGCAATTTCATGCAGCGAGCTTAAATTTTCAGGCTGTATATGCAGGTCCAAAGTTATCTGTGTCTTGTTTAAACAGGATAATATCGAATCATTTCGATAAGATACAATTTCTATGAAATACTCTACAGCAACAAGTTAATAAACAAGTTTTTTCCTAAGACCAGTTATGTTGTCCTCGTTCCATCCAAAAAAAAAAAAAGTATGGTTGATGAGGAGGAAGAAATGAAAAAATGAAGCCAGAAAAAGATGGGGAACCGTAGCTGAATCTTCGCATAGAAGACCATAAATTAAAAAAGGATGAGGAACAATGGGGGTAACCCAGTGCTTACTGCAAATATCAGCTCTGCTGCGTCAAGTTTTGCTAATTTACAAGCCTATCGCATTTAGAGCTAGTAAAATAAAAAGATAGAAGTTAAAACTTAATGTTAAGGAAATTAATCTCAAAAGATGTTGAGTGTAATGACACTGTACAGTGCAAATGGCTGCAGAAGGCTCATTTAAATCTGCAGAAGCCTCAGAACGATCATATGTGGCGTTTGCAGACCCATGTAGCAATGATCGCTTGTCTTGATTTGCAGTCAGGTTGACCGTATCAAGAAGCGACGATACGTCAGATTTTTTTGCCTCTACGGAACTTTCTTCCGTTGAATCATCCGGTAAAATCCAATAATCCACATAGTTGCTGTAGCTAGAAGTTTTTTCTGCAGACGTTTCTTCAAAAGGATCTATATATGGAAGGCTAAAAGTATCACTGCTGTCGCTGTTCCAAGTTTCCTCAATTTTTTTTGATTTTTCTTGACTGTTAACTGGCTCTGAAGGAACCTCTTCGACAGTTTTTTGTAAATCTGTCTTCTCCGTTTCTTCGTTCGAAATTTTCTTTCGCATTTTTCGTAACCAAAGACATTTTTTTGGTATCTCAGTTTTATTTGCGTCATACCACAACAACTTCTTATAAGAATCGATTAAGGCTTCATCGACAGCTCGCCAAATCTTAAATTAACTTATCGTTATCAAATAAATTGCAAAATTTAGTTAGAAAACTGATAGCACATAAATGAAATAAAATAAAACGTTTTAGTTCTCGAAGACTTTTATATTTACAACAGGCAAACCTTTCGAGCGTCTCTGCTACAGTTTCTGGTCACCTTGTTATAGCATCGTCTGTATACAGAAAGATTCCTAAAACGTAGTGTTCTCTTTAAACAGCTTAGAAAGCAGTAATCAAAAGCTAAAAGATTGCTAACAAACCTACAAAAGGTAGCAGGTGCATCAAGTGATGGCTGCTGTACTTTTTCACATCTTTCTTTAACCTTTGCAAGATGAGACCGCTGACAGGATAGAAACGACATAAATCCTAAAAAAAAAAATCCAATAAATTACAGTAAATGAAAAGAAAACTAATTCAACTGTTTAATTTTTCAAGATGAGAAAAAACAAAAATTTGCATTAACTTTAATCAAAAAAACGACAACTGACTGCGTTAGCCTAACGCTTTAACAAAACCTATGCATTCCTTATAGCTTTAGTTTTTATTAAAAAAATTCAAAAATTTTTAGAAAATTAAAAGCCTTGAAAAATTAAACAGTCTAATTGAATTTTAACAAAATTCATGATTCTAAGCATATGTTATGTGAAAAATTCAAAAAACCTTGATTTTTAGTTCGACGACAAATTGCTATCCATGGAAGTGCACTGATTATGCGAAGACTTCGTTCTCGGCACAGCGAGCACTTAGACAGACAATTTTTGTAGTCATCAAAAGAGCTAAATTAGAACACTACACTGACTAAGATTGTTGAATAGCATATTTTTTTGCGGTTACAAATTTAAAATT